TTTCGGTAGGGTGTACTATCCAATAACAACCGAAAATACTACATTACAGAAAATTTGGGCAAAGAATGTGACTGAACTCCCCAACATACCGAAATTGGAAGTCGATCATAAAAGTGGAATATTGGGCACCCAATCAGAAACCATAATATGAAATCATAGTCAATTCAAATGAAAACTTTTCTAAACTACAGAACTTGGCTATCCTAAACATTGGACTAATATTGATAATTTTTAGAAACACCAGTACCAAAGTACAGTTAATTTGGTTAAAAACATGTCGCATATTTTGGGGGTATTTTGGGGTACCCTTATATTGGGATATACTAAAAACGTGTACCAATATATTTGTTTTATAAAACCAAACATTCTAGTGCAGAAGTACTGTAGGTTCAAAATTTCAATGGTCTACCTTATATTGATTGATATTTTTTTTGATATTTCCTTAAACATAGAATCGACACAGAATTGTCGTTTCCAGGATAGAGGTGTCCACGATTCGAGACGTCCCGAGTCTCACTCGGCCAACTTCTGTCACCTCAGCCCATTGTGTAAAAGCAATAGGGTGCACAGAATTGTATTCCGATCAAGAATAAATATTCATTATAGAGACTCTGGGATATATTTCGAGGTGTTACAAACGGAATGACAAATTTAATATGCACTAAACCTTACGACAGAAGGTATAAAAAGAAACCGCCCGCCATCAGCTTTAAGAATGAACGTTTAATTGCAATAAATTATACAACTATGTTCTCATTCCCTTTAATTTTCTTTTGTTTTGTTTCGTTTTTTGCAAACATGGTCCGCCAGAACAGCTGTGAGCTTTAAATGAACAAAAACAGAAAAAACGCTATACAACATCGCATTTGTCCTCTGTGTTTCTCTTTTTATGGCTTTGTGTTCGTCTTGCACTTTACTTATTTCTGAGAAATGCGTGGGAATGACAAAAATACAAAATATGGAGACCAGCCATCCAACCTTCTGTCGCAAACCGAACATAGTGGACGCAAAGAATGAAATTCAATTTTATCCAGTTTTGTGTTTTATTTTTTCATTTGTTGAACGAAATGGAAGGTACAACACAAAAATCAACAAATTCTTAAAGGTATTTTTTTCCGGTGGTATTTTATTTACCAGTTGGATAGCACTGCGAAGTGCATAAGAGGGACTTTAAGAACCCTTGACACTAAAAAGGTATTAAACAGAAAGGAAATTAAGAAAGATGCGATGTGAAAGAATGAAATCATGAATGTGAAGTGTCTGATTTTTTAATGAATGGTGAATAGGAGAATTCACGAATTTCGGTCGTCCCTAGTTTGAATACGCCACACAAATATCTAATTTCATCGATTTAAGTCGCTATGAGCAACACAACACATGGTGGTACGTCAATTCTTCGAATGAGTAGGTTTATGCTAAGATTATCAAAATTTACATGAAATCGGAGGAATCTGTAAAAAGTAGTAAACCTGAACGATTTCTAACCAATTTATATTTCCTTGAGCCAAATTTTATTTTTTTTATATAAAGAATCAGACCTGGACGTATGTAGATAGTCAGGCGGATATGCGTAAATCGAATTAATAAGTAAGTCCAGTTATATCCTTAAAAATGAATATGCATGAAAACGTAGAATTCTGTACCACAGTGGGTGTAGGGTATACAATTTGTGGATATGTGATTTAGTTCCATATTTTACTTGCAAAATGGGAAATTTCGAATTACAAGAGATTGTAAAGTAGCTAAAATAACGATGGACCTTTATTTGGGGAGTATGTGGACCTACCTTGAATAATTGTCTACCGTACCGTACTACCCATAATGCCGAATTTTGGCCACATCAATTGGAAATTGCGGCTACGACTATTAAACTGCCAAAATAACTTTATATGAGTTTGTTTCGACCTGGGCCTATAATTTCGCTTGAAAACGTCAAGGTACATTTTGTAATAATAATTGTGAATTGAGGATTCCCTTAAGCCATTTAATGAAATTACTTCTTTACATCACTGATGCCTAATTTTGTATTTTATTTTATTTTTGTTTTTTTTTTTTTCACAATAAGAACCCACCTTGCTAATGTTGTATTCAACTTAAGTTTTGCTGCTAAGAAAAAGAAAAATAAGAACAAGTAAAAAACGGCACTTTTTTACCTCCTTCGTTATGAATGAAGAGGACCGCTGCAGACAAAGTCGGAATGTCCGAACAAAACAAAAGAGAAATGCAATAAAGAAGCAGGTGTTCGTTCTGACTTTACCTTATTGAAACAGTTGGAAGGTGAATTTCGCAATGCAGTTAAATGCGCTTTAAGGCAAGTGTGCATTTTTTTGAAAATGCCATTTGGGGATTTCTGTTAGAGGTATATTGCTTTTGAGAATAATTGTAATGATCCCGGGTAATTATTAATTTAATTAATTATTCTTGATATTCGTGGGAGATTCCTCCAGCCACCATTTGCCGTTAAAATAAAGTTCTAGGTTACAATATTGTAAACATAACCTTTGAATATCGGTTTTAGATATAAATATGTAGAAAAGTCGTACAATTCGATCAAATTTGTATGCCCCCCACAATGTGGTGTGCAGGCTTGAAAACTGAGGTACATCAATGTACCGATAGTAAAGAGGGGCCTTTGCATGGGATCCATGTAAAAGCATGGATCTACAATGACAATTTTCTGGGAAGGAGTTTTATTTAAGACGTCTGTCGTTTATCGAATATCCCACAAAAATATTTTAAAATTTGAGATTGCTATAGATAGAAGACCTCCATGAACATTTCCGATTCTATATTTCTTAAATTATAGAAGGTATTTGTCTTTTATATATCGAAGATCTTATAAAACATCCGGCAAAGGTCATGGAGGTCTTCTGAAATTATACGATCTCGATCTCGAGTCTTAATATTTTTGACGAACTTTTTTGGTATTGGCGAATATTTATGTAAAGATCTTTACATATTGCAAGGCATTAAATCTATTGAAAAGAACATCTTTGAATTCTTCGGAGAGGTCCTGTAATCCTGGTAGACCTTCAATGAATCTGATATTGATCGAAGATTTCACAGAGATATTAGAGGACTTTCAAGAGTCGTCTTTTGATAGAAGCTATTCGATAAAAAATATCTGATTTCATAAATGCCTTCCAGATGTCCAGAAGACCTACAGCAGGCCTTCTCATTATTCAAGGCTGTCTCCGGATCTTTACTCTATAAAAGATCCAATAGATGGAGTGTTCTTTAAAAAATTAAGATCCCTTATGATTTTCTACAATTTAAGAAATGTAAAATCAGAAGTTTTTCTAGAATTTAAGACTTCTGCTATTGATCAAAGATCCCACTGATATATTTGTTAGAAGCTCTTCTTCGTATCTTCTATACAATATTTAAAGGTCGAGTGCACATAAAAGAAGCAAGAATTTAAAGGTCTTCCACAATGGAATGGAATCATGGAAAATTCTGGTCTTTGGCACAATGTCTTCATATTTTAGACGATCTTTTAAAGGTACTGAGCTATATTAATGGAAAGGTCTTTATATATTCAAAGGCATTGAATCTTCGGTAAAGTTCTTCTATTATTACCAACAAATCAAGGTGGCGCCCTTTTTGGCCAGAACGGAACCTACATGCAAAATTTCGAGAAGACTGTTCCTTCATGATACCTCTAGATATATTTGATTTCTCTATTGTTTAGGTAGAATGATAGTCTTCGAATCACTTCATGTGTTTTTTGTACCTCAAAAGGCCTTATAAAAATAAAAGTCCTTCAAAGTATATTTTTTCAGAAGAACGGGGACTTATATTGGCCTTAAGGTTTTAAATTCATAATCTGCAAATATTGTACGCTTAAACCTCAATAATCTTTCCATTGCAAAAAATACCACCAATACAAGATAATCTAAACCACAAACCCAACTCAAGGCTTTGTTTTGATTTTATTTTTTTCACAATTTTAGCATTCAAAAAACGCAACTCAAATTACAACAATTTTATGATATTTTGAAATTTAGTGGTTTTGTCAGGTCTTAAATTTGGTTTTGTGTTTTCGGAATTAAAGGTTAATTTCACTTGGCATTGAATTGAAAGTTATACAATTGCAATAAGACGGCCAGCAAAAGAGCTAAGCTACCAGCTAACAAAGGAAAGAGAGTCTTAAAACAAAACAAAATAGATAAATGGATAGAAATACAGACTGAGTGACTGACAGCAACATTTACCAGTCAAAAATTAATGAAACGTCTATGACCAGGTTAACAACAATAACAATGGAATGGACAACAACAGCAAGTAATCACTGGTCACACGATGTGATGAATTGTAATTATGTCGTTTTAGCTGGGCGTGTTAACGGCTCAGCACCAATAAAATACCAAATATTTTTATGTATTTTTCCTGTCAGTACCCAGTCACTGCCACGGCTGTTATAGCCGCCGCTCACATTACATCGCTGGCTGTGGGTCATGTTTTGAATAAAGAAAGAAAGAAAATAATATAAACAAAGTCTAAAGGCGTTTCTTCAGAAATACACACAATAATAATTTGCTGCCGAACAACAAGACTGGAATACCAAAAACGGAATTTGGTAACAACGAGTTATGTAATTTGTTTTGTTGTTGTAAAATAAACAAATCAAAAAAGAAATGTTGATGATGATGGTAACACAATTTAAAGGATTTCATTCGTTGCACAAAAACACTTAGGGATATTTAAAACTAATTTTACAACATTTTTTTCTTGTTTATCTTTCTAATTTGTATAGCTATAGCCTTTAGGCATTTTTGCCGGCCAAACCCTGAGATAACAACAACATCCACTAGGAAATATGTATTGGCGTATAATAAAACCAAAAAATTGTAACAATCAATCTACAACCTTTCGATAAAGTACATAATTTTGGAATATCAATAAAAAAGGAAAACAAAATAAATACTTTATTTATTTTGAAAATAAATCCATCCGGTTAACCGGATTTTTTTTCGTTTACAAGAGAATTTGTCTAAATCCCGGACATCAAAATGATTGTTAAAATGGATCCTGATGAAATGATTACTCTGCGGGTGCAGTATCTTGTCGATACAGATCCACTCGATTGTACATCAATGTATCCGATACCGACACGAGCACCGACCTACGCCTTTGCCAGTACCATGCCATTGGCAACACAATTGGGCACCATACTGCGCATCCTTAATGCACCGCAAAGGGTAAGAGAAGTGATGAAATAAAAAAATTAAAAAAATAATAATAATTTAACTATATGGAATTAAGGTGATAAATATAGTTTGTTTTATTAAAAAATAAATAAATACATAATCAATTAAAATTTCAAGAATACAAAAATAAGCTGGTGATGGCAACCGTTACAAACCGATGGCAACGTTATCACAAATGTGATATATATTATCTTATATTATAATATTATATTATCGTATATTATTCTAAGTTAGCATAATAAATTTGCTAATGTTAGACCAATGAATGTAATAAGAAACTTATATAATTTTTTAAACCACACAGCTGATCAAACGTTTGAAAAAATGACTCATATATATATGACGGCTAAATCTCATTATCTGCCAATATTGGATTTTTTTTTTTGCTAAGAGGTCTTTTAACACTTGCAAATGCAAAATTCATTTCCATTTTGGTCTTCTAATCCTTAAAGCAATAACAAAATCTTTTTTCGGGGATTATGTTCACCTCCTCATGATTTAAACTGCACTATCGTAACATGGAGGTATTCATGCACTTGGTTATTGTAAAAAAGCAGATTTTTCTGGCGGATAGCTTTTCCATAATTGGCATCCCATGGAATGATAGAAAACTGGGAGCAAAACCATAACATAGGACCTGACACAGCATCCATTGCCAATGATTAAGTTTTGCAATGAGGTCAACATTTCCTGAGCAATGCAATTTATTTATTATTATCGTATGTTATATGTATCGTGTTCAGAAAGTTTTGCAAATGTTCCATTTCTGCATTTTATGAAATCAATTCATAAAACTTCAATAATGGTTTCTTGTAAGAGAGAGGGGAAAAACAAATTTTGAGTATGTTTGGTGGCCGGTTTTCAATAGCACAGAAACTCTTTACCGTTTAATTTTTTTATTTGGGTTTTATGCTTTCTTCTTCGATAAGTCTCGCCTCGCTTATTTTTATTTACCGTACATGATCTTGACTTGGATCATGGAACGATCTTATACAATGTTAAACATTCGGTTGGGCTAATTGCTTGTATTAACACTTGTCTGATATATTGTACTTGACATTTATATCGAAATAATTTGGAAAATACATATGTGAATTTTATAACACAATACAGAGGCCTGTAACAGGCTTTAAAATAAACAATGCAATGTAAAACTAAGCACAATCGAATGAGTGAAGAGTGGGTGGTTGTTAGCCAATGAGAAAGTACTCAAACGGCTGCAAACTAACAATAAGCAATTGAGGGGAGGACGGAGGATGATACCAAAACAAAACAATGAATGTTGGAAGTGAGGAGAAAGAGAGAGAGAAAATAATCTTGATATTAATGAAAACTGTACTTTTTTTGGAAGTAATAGTGGCTGTCTTCTGATTATAAGAATTTTTACTTTTATTCTGATATGAAAAAATTAACTATGAATGAAATTATGGAAATATTCCTTAACATTTTTTTCTGTTTATGTGGGTTATACCAAAATCTACACCGAAAGTTCATTCATATTGATATGGGGGAATCAGCCTGAAGGCCTGAGAACGTTGTATGATATAATGAAACCATGGCAATAATACCGCCTCTCTTGAAATGCTTCAATACAATATTTTACCTTGTCTTCTCAATTCAGAGATGGAGCAATCACAGAGCGTACTTTCTAAGCCCAAGTACAGTTACAATTCTTAAACAATATCGCTCAGTTTTGAACTCATGAAAATAACCGGTCACTTCGGTAAGCGTGGTTCGTATAATAGTGTATATATAATAATATGTTCGGATAATAGTGTATGCATGACATGTATTGGCGGCAATGGAAGGGAAATACACTTTCTCAATCACAGAATACGCATGGATAGGACCCAAAAATTATTTCCTCAGAATTTCCTAAAATAATGTTGGCAGATAGTATAATTTCAGGCAGGCTGATATATTAGTATCTCACATTGCACATGTGACCAGAGTTGCCAAAATGGTAGAAGTATTCACCTGAGACCTCTTTTTTTTCTTAATATCCCTCTGTCTGTTTAAATAACGATAGAGCTCGCAATATTAAAGACAGAGCTTAGAAATTTTGAACATATATTTTTTCTACTGCTCCTAGGATGTTTGGTATTTTAGGTTAGCCCATTATGCGGTATTTGGAAGATTTTGGGTACAATTTGTAAACCTTATCTTTATACTGAAAACAATCAACCAGTTTTACAACTGAATTGGTCCATAGTCCGGTTATTGGACTTTGGATTCTCATTGGCTAATAAATCTCGGGGTAGTATTTTGGTTACTTAAGGGGATCCCCCCCATTCTCGGTAAAAAAAAAGAAATAATTTTGTATTTTGATTTAATTCGAACCTACACTAATTCAAGAATGTCCCTATAAATTTTCAAGTGAAAATCTCAACAATTTTTAAGATATAGCCGATTTATTGTATTAGCATTAAGTGACGGCAAGAGGGCTTCTCAAACTAAAAACGCATTTTTCTCCAAACATCGTTTTTGCGAATGGCGGGCACGATAACTCAAAAACTAATAATCCGATTGATTACAAATTCGTTTAAAAAATGGATGACTTATACACATTTTTGTATTGATTCTATGCATAAAAAAGGAAATATGGGTCTGTGTCGTTTCCTGTTACAAACCATTATGTTTGCAACAGGCAAAAGGAAACTAGATAGACACATAGTTTCTTTAGAGAATATGCACAAAATCAATACAAAAATGTGTATAAGTCATCCATTTTTAACCGATTTTTTTGATTTGTATCATTTTCGAAATCTAATTTAATTTTCTTCCCCGTAATATAATAAAACTTATATGGCTTGATATCATAATTTCGTCGTACAGTCCGAAGAATAATAAATTATGCCATTTTATGCGTATTTTTCACATTTCAACCGCTGTAATTCAGCCAATCCTCAACCGATTTACCAAATATATATCTTTGAAAGGAAAAATTGTACTCTTCGAAAGAAAAAAAAAAGGATAATATAAGTCTGTTAAAAAGTAAATAAGTTATTCGACTTTCATATTGAAAATCCATGAAACCATGTTTTTCTCTATATTTACCGTTTTAAAATTATTTTCGAAGTGACTCAGAAAATCCAAAGATATTTTCGTGGTCCAGGGACTCCAACTTAACAGAATTGGTACATTAGAACCCCTGAAAAATTTTCGTGTCGCACAGTGTTATTTTTCTTCCTTTTTAAATTTTCAAATATATATGTGCAAAATTACAAACCTTAACATGCATTGGTATTTATTTATCGGCCCATTTAAAATCTTAAAAATAAAAAATCGAGAATGGGGTTCCACTTTTTTTGGGACGTCGGACACGTTTTTCGACGGTTTAGTTTTATTTTTTTTTTTTATTTTTATATATATATATGTTATTTTTAAATGAACAATCAAGACGAACTTAATATCGTTCAATATTTTTGATTAATTTTGACATCATTTTGGTTTTGCATTCCTTAGATCTTCACATACTAATTGATAAAACTTGCTTCAAGCCTTATCTGCAAAATAAAAAATTAATAGTTTTATTTTGCGTATAGGAACTATAATGATATAGTTGACGTGAATAGATGCTAATTAGAATACATACATTCAAAATATATGTTAAAAGACACTGTGTGTCAGTTAAGAATATGTATAAGAATATTTTATCAAATGAACTCATACACAATCGTGCTAATGATTGTGTATGAGTTCATTTGTAATGGAAATTGAAGTTTTTTATTACGATTGGATATAATAATTGAGATATTACGGATTTGAAGTGTAATTCAAAGTGGATAGAAATGATAAATTTTCTATTTTGCAGATGGAAATTTATGTCTATGTGCAAAAATTCTTAATGACAGATTCTAATGCTTATATATTCTGACAGCTAGTTTTTTTTAATTTCGTTCGAAACTGTAGTCCTCATGTACCTGTTTTGCCCTCAATAATGGAAAGGAAGAGCTGAGCAAGATCAAAAAAATATATGTCATAAGTGTATATATAAACTCCTGTGCCGAAGCTACAAGGCAGTGTAAAATAATTCAAATAATATTTCAATATCTTTTGCCCAAATAAGAAATAAATCCTCAGTATCGTGTATATGCCAATATAATTTCACCACCAAATCAATAGCATATCAAAAAACTGGTTTACGATTTCACATGTCGTTTATTCCAAACATATGACGAAATAAGACAAATTACATTTAAATTTAATTATATATTTGAATGGATAGCGTATTGTACCGCCTTGGGGCGATATTTGTGATCGTTATTTTTCTTTAATTATTCATTAATTCGCTCTCAATCATTTTAGGCGTTTTTTTCGTTTCTTTTTTTTACCACTTTGTTTGTTATAAATTTCTGGGCAGCCGGTTATTGGACTTTGTTTTTGCCGCATAGAAGCCGGTTGTTGTTGTCGTTGTTGTTGGTTTTAAAAACAAAATCAAGTTCTTAATGCAAAAATTATGCAAAATAAAATGCGGTTAAATTAATGATAACAGAAAAATAGTCTAATCGAATATAGGAAATTAATAAAGCAAACCAAAATAATAATAACAACAATGTGATTTTTCTGAGGTTATTGGAGATAAATTGACCACAAACGCAGCAAAAAACAAACATTTGTTGAATATTGCAAATTATTTTTAGGTTATTGTGGATTTTATAATGCAATTAGATAATTGATTCATGCATATTTATACCCTTCACCACACTGTGGTACAGGGTATTATGTCCATGGTTCCTTTTGATATATGCATAGAATCACTTTCTGAGTCGATTTATGCATGCCCGTCCGCCCGTCTGTCAGTCTGTCCATGTTAAATTGTAAACAAAGTACAGGTCGCAATTATGATCCGAATTGGATGAAATTGGGCACAGCTCATTTGTTTGGCAAAGGACGAACCCTATTGAAATTGGGAAAAATCGGTTCAGATTTAGATATAGCTCCCATATATATTTTCGTCCGATTTAAGGTAAATGGCGTATCAAAGTCCC